TTGACGAACCATACGAAGAAACAAATAATCAACAAGATAACCCTGTCAAATGTTAAAAGAGAGGCTGGTTATACGAAGAAACAAAAGATATTAATAAAAAATATAACCATGTCAAATGATAAAAGAGAGGATGATTTATATGATGATTTGATTGAAGATCTTGGGATAAAAAAAGAGAGGATGATTTATATGATGATTTGATTGAAGATCTTGGGATAAAAAAAAGAGAGGATGATTTATATGATGTTTTGATTGAAGATTTTGGGATCAAAAAAAGAGAGGATGATTTATATGATGAACTGATTGAAGATTTTGGGACTAAAAAAAGAGAGGATGATTTGTATGATGATTTGATTGAAGATTTTGGGATCAAAAAAAGAGATGATGATTTATACGATGATTTGATTGAAAATTTGGGGATAAAAAATGATAAAAATATCTTTTTTTCATACCTCAGTCTGTGGCTATGAGATTCTTATAAAGCTAGTCAATTCGTCAGACTGATGGCCGCAGTCATGGCCTTCAAGAGGTTCAAAGCATCATAGTTCTTGCCCATAAGACTCACGGGGATGCCCATCATGACCGCGACACGTTCCACAGTTTCAATGGCCTCTGCTGGTTGATGCGACCACCACTCTTCGGTCTTGGCGATGTTGTCAGCCAGAACCTTCCGTTTTGGTTCGGACAATGGCAATTCTTTGAGCCATTTGTTGAAGGCTCGCACTGCCAAGGTCGTTGGCATGTGCTGGGACAGCCAAGGATTGACAGTGGATGGGCAGACAAGGAGACTGGATGGCTCGAATTTGGGTGGAGCTCATGGACTGGGCTGATTCGAGTTGTTCAGGAGGGCCCTTTGAATGGGTGTTGCTGCCGGACTGGATGCTGAAGGACCTGTGGCAGGTGAGGAAGTGACTTCACCGGCCTGGACTTTCCCCAACCTTCTGTGACGCAACAACGCAAGTTGGCTGCGTAGCTGGGTTAATTCGTGCTGGGTTTCTGGATCTGCCATGCGCATTGGGACCCAGCTGTGGATGATGTCCGCGATTTGCTGTGCGGCATACTTGGTGTTGTTCGTCTTGTCCATCATTTTTCCATCTTGCCGAGCCCGAGTGTGAGAAACCTTGTCCAGATCGATGCTTTTTGCTTTGAGCTGTGTCAAGAGCTCCGTCATGAAAACAACAGCTGCGATGTCCCCTGTAGGGACGATGTAAAGCTCACGACCATGAGCCAGTTTCCGAAGCCAGAAGTTGTTGGCCTGTTGATACAGAAGAGCCGCCAATGGTAAGCTAAGAGGATCACACCCTTCAATGTCCAACTTTTGGGTGAAGGCCGATTGACGGATTGACTTTGGAAATGTCATTCCATTGACTTTCTGGTTGTCATAGTGGTCATTGTCGCTCTGCCACTGTGGGTTTGGATCAAACCCATAAGTGCGAAGGGCTTCTTGGTTGTCCTTTTCCCTCTGTGGAGTGCAAGTCGGTGAATCGAAGCGACGAGGTTGGGATGATGGGACCGATGGGGTGCTTGGAGAGCATGGTTGAGTAGGTGGGCATGGAAGAGTTGGTGAACATGGTGAATGAGCTGGACGATGAGGTCGTGGATATGGCAAAGTTGGTGGAGGTGATGCAGGAAGAGTGGATGAAGGTACCGGTGGGAACTGGTGGCCCTGCCAGTTGGAATTGAACATGGACCAATTCAGGTAAGCGCCCGGCTGAGTCATCATCATCTGAGGTCGGAACTGAGGTCGTGACATATTCTGAGCTTGCTGCATCGATGCCTGCATAGGGCCCCGCCAACGTGGGAAGAACGGCAGGTCGGGTCGCAGCTGCGGAGGATTTCGTTCATGAGGATCAGCTCGGTTGCGGCCGGCGCCGGTGAGCGAGATCGATCAGAATCTGCCATGGTCTGAGTCAGGATACTTAGATTGGGCCACAAGTGGAACACTACGGTATTTACCAAATCACATCAAGCAGTCAGCATGACATGTGAAAAGGTCAAACGTGAGAGATCATGAGAGATCCTCCACATTATGAAGGTGAAACCTAGTGAAATCTTGAATGTCACATGTAGCAACGAGAAACTGAAAGCACTACCAGTCAAGTGTACGTAAATGAAAAAGTATCAGGACATCTCCGAGATCAACGACAAACATGCAGTCTGTATGTCAGTGTGTCAGTATGACAGAAACAGTATGGAAATTGAATGAAACGACAAATTGAGGCAACCGTGCAATTTTGCCATCCGATGCTCGTCCAGGTATCCCTAGAAATGGTTGTTCCGGTTTCCGGAATTTGGCACAAGATTAGATAGTCCTGGCAGGTCGTGTCAAAAAAAAATCTATCTGGCGTTGCCTCGACGGCTTGTGTATCGGTCCTTAGTTCTCTCGTTGATGCCTCGGTAAGTCAGGTCAACGGATGAAGACCCATCATCGTCAGATTGAGGTGGCAGATTTTGCAACTTTAAGGCGACGAACTTCAACCCCACATGGTTACTGTGGGCAATCGTGTACTTCTCCGATGTTGTCACCACCCCTTTCTCAGCTACTGCGAGCTGTGCCGTCTCATTTCCTCCAGCTTTGAATGCCGTGTGTTGGCAGGCGCCGGTGTACATCGCACCGACGATGATTTCCTGTTGGCCTTTGCCCTTCTTCTGAATGGTGTCCATGAGCTCTTTGATTGCCCAATCAGGAATATCAGTGTCAGTGTTGGCAACTTCTCTTCCAAGATAGAATGCCCCAAAGGATGGTACATCGCTTTTCTGGTATTTTTATTGAACTGCCAGTTGGCCGGTCTGATTTTGCCCTCAAGGAGAATGGCTTGAGATGTGCTGATGCTGGTGCCGTGAAGCAGTGCCCAAGTGTGGTTGTGATTGGACTTGAAAGGTTTGGGCATTTGGTAGAGACTGGAATGTGGAAGTGGAAGGATGAGTGCATAGACGTTAGCGCTGGGAAGTTCCATGACGTAGGCCTTGTGGAGCTCGTAGCCGGGCAGGAGGTTGGTGCTGAAGAGCAGGTTGATCGCTTTTTTGGTGATGTCGAGTGGAATGCGACCATCCTGTTGCTGAAGTGTCTGGACAGCTTCATGGAACGCTTCGACATCCATGGAGATAGTAGGACGAGGTTTCAACTCCGGTGGAATCCGATGCTGCTGGCATGCGATCTTTGTGTTTGAGGCCGAACTTGACCCACCGCACCCATTCGTCTTTTGTGCCTGAGTGAACATTGATGAGCATATGGCCTGAAGGGAGGCGACAGGTTGGTCGTCTCCTGAAACGGCTGGAGTGTATCGTCGTCTGTGACGGTGAGAGGTGTGATGAGTGGACGAGTAGGCAGTGATGGGTCTGGTGGAGTGGTCACGTGGATGAGTGTCTGGTAAATTGGATGTGGTGTAGTCGATCCACGTGGATTGGTGTGTCGGTGGTTGATGTTTGGAGTAGTCTTTCCACTTGCCCCAGGACTGCCACTTGTCGTTGGAATCTGCTGCTTGATGGTGGGATGATGAGCGAGTGTCGTGGGATTGGGTGGGTTGTTGGTAGTTCCACCATGATGAAGTATGAAGAGTTGGTGCGGTGGAGGAGTTGTCATGTGGTTGGTAGTGGTCCTCCTGTGTGTGGCGTTCCGCATGTCGTCTGGGTGTTGCCGATCGAAGGTGGATCGAAGGTGCTCGGTCACGAGGTCGAGAGTCTTGCCGTCGACGGGATCTGTCTCGGGATGTAGTTCTCGGTCGTGATGATCTCCTGGGTCGACGAGTGGATCGTCGACGAGGGCTGCGATGGATGGACACAGGACGCTTGTCTGGGTGCTTGGACTGTTCACGATGGCGATGGGACCGGGATCTGTGTGAGAAGCTTGAGAAAGACTGTGGTGGTTGTTGGTCCATCGTGGGCACAGGGATGGTAGCGAGAGGAGGCGTTGGTGTCGGAACTGGACTGGTGGAGTTGGTAAGGGAACAGGAGGTGAAGTGGATTGAACTGGGTGTTCGGATGGCTTGCCGACCATCGCTTGGAGGCTGGATTCCACAGTGTTCTTCACCTCTTGAAGAAGTGCTTCTGAGCTTAAAGACGTCGTAGGGCCAGAATGTGTCGCTGGCACAGCTGCCGGAGTGGATGGTTCAGGAACGGATGGGTGAGATGGCATGGGACTGGTGGTCACTGGAGGATTGACAGTGTGTGGAGGCTGATGGATTGAAGATAATTGTTGAAGATGGTTGATATGAGATTGATCTTGTGTCTGAAGCTGTTGATTGAGCATCGCATTCTGTGCTGAAGCGCAGCAAGTTGTGCCTGAGTTTGAGACTGCTGCACCTGAGTCATAGGGTCCCCACCGCAAAATTGGCCAGCGAAGCCCATAGTCTGAGGATTCCATCCAAAGTTCCACATTGTCTCGGGGACGTTGGAGAAACGTCCAGGGAACATGGCACGAAAGTCAGGTGTAATAATAAAATTAATTGGAAATCACATGATGCATCCACACTGCGTGCAAGATTTCGTGATAAGGCTCAAGGCCCTCCGTATTCAAATCAACCCCATCGACAGCTGTGAGTGTTCAAATGAATTAGGTGCACAATTGAACCTCACCAACGACCCAAAAAGAAGAGTCACCATATCTGCAAGCATGGACTGTGCCTGGAATCCTCATGTTGCAATTGTCAGCCGCAAAAAGTGCTCGAGCAATATTGAAAAAGGAGGTTGTTGTCGCGGCTTCAAACTATGCAATGTCAATCCAAAGAAAATGGTGAGGCCAGTCACGACGGCCAGCTGTTTCAACATCCACGACCTCATCAGTTAGAAGTTTTACATCTCTTCAGATGTTCCACACACACACATATATATATATATATATCAAATAACAGCAACACCTCATTTCGTGTAATTCATCACTGGACTCACTAAATCATCAATAGATCATGTTGGCAACAACACAGTGTCCCATCACAATCCGGTGGGTAGATATTCCACGATCCACTTTGGGGGGTGACTGAAAATTATCATATCCAAGTGGCGGGGCTTCAGAAGCGAAGGTGAGCAACGTGGGCTTGGGCCTTGGAGTGAATTGTAGCCTGCCGCGATGAGCGTACCGGGCTGTGGAAGAACATAAAATGGGACACGGGACATGTTTTACCCGCTATTTTGCAACTCAAATATAGCCACCTCTATATAAATATAATATATATAATGTGTGTGTGCGTGTGTGTATGTATAATATATAGCATGTAAACGCATGTAAATATAATATGCAATTTAAATATGATGTTTCAAATTCAGGGAGGTTCATCCAATCCAAATACATGTTTCTGGGCAACTTCAGCACCAAACGCATCAAACAAAATATCTAAGTTTTCAGAAACGCTTGCAAGCATAAACAAATCAAAGATATCCCGCCATATCCTACCAGTCCAATGATGTACGATGTCTATCCTCACCTGCGTTTTGCACCGCCTGCCTGCGTTGTTTCAACTGATTCTCCCGTTCACGAACACCTGGCGTTTCAAGGAGGTGCCACCGGGAACCACTCCAGTCATCCAAGTATGTCATGGGTAAGCTCGTTCCCCGGCGCCCACGGGGTAAAAACATGTAAACATGATCTTGGTTAATTAATGCTAACTAGGGTTAGTTTATTCCTAGCAGTTGGAAAAAAATAATTGTGAGTTGGTGCGAGTTGGAATAATTGGGATTAGGATTAGATACGCCCAATAATGAACCATCCCCAGTTGAGGTCTAGAATATTTGGCATTTGGTGCATGGTTAGTTATTGGGATTGGTTGCTTTTGGGTTTATCACATGACATCACATGACTTTCTTACTTTGGTGTCGTCTGGAAGAATCTCCCCAGTTGAAGTGCTTTCTTGCATGCTGATGCGCCAATCTCATCAAAACTTATGATGCCATGTTTGGGAGGATGAATACCCATATGAATATCCCAGCTAATTTGGTATTCACCAGGCTACGCAGATTTTTCCCAACGCCATTGGTCTACATCAGTTCTACTGAAGGGTCTCCCCTCTTTGGCATGAAAGGTCAATCAACTGTGAATGCCTCGATTTTAGGACCATGTGTAAAAACCGGTAACCGACCAAAATTTCGGGTCGGAGGGAGATGACTACTATGTAAATACACATGGTTTACACAAGAAAACGCATGTGTATTAAACTGTACTACCCCGAATCATTTCAAGAATTCCCCTTTGCCAAGAAATGGGCTATACGGCTATACCTCAAGATTACCATTTTCCAGTGCGAAGTGATGATAAACCATTACAGTCATTACATTTTGGATGAGTTTGGGTTCACCTTATTTCGAAAAAACCCATTGGTGTTCCCACCGGGTGGAGGACTTCGCCTGCGTTGAGATAAACGCCGGCGAAGTCCTCCACCGGCAACGCAGCCCAGTCGTCGTGTCGAAGCCCTTGGCCCTCCTGAGGCGATCCCAGCGATCCCGGGGACTCAACATAAACCAACCTGTCGCCAACAAGGTGTGGGTCTACATGGGTTTACTAAATGGCCATTCATCACCAAGCACGTTTTTTCAATGGCGAATCTTAATCATAAATTACATCAATTCTTGGGGGAATCTCCTTTGGGGGGTATTGGCTGGATCTCCATTAAACTTGGGATTGCTGCTGAGCAACAACTGGAGAAACACAATATATTAGTGTCTTTGGCAGCGGCGGGAAAAGTGCCATAGCTGCAAAACATCAAATATTCAAAATACATGTGCATTTAAACAAGCATGCATTATAAACATATCTCTCTCCATCGCCCTCTCCTTATAAATATAGTTACGTATGTATGTGTATATATATATATGTGTGTGTGTGCATGTCGACGAACCCTAAAGCCTGAACCCCAAAACCCTAAATCACTTCATATAGACAGTTTCTGCAACTTCTCTGAACGATTTCGACCCTGCCCAAGATCTTAAATTTGCATGATATTGCAAGGATGTATTCAATATCTGCGTGTGGGGCACTTATATCATTGAACATTTAAAAAATCAAAAACATGTCCCAGTTCCACTTGCTTCTGACCAATTTATCTGGAGAAATGAATCTAATTCATTCTAATTCACCAAGCTGAAATATTTGGGCAGTTTGGGATGTTTACACCCTACCCATCCACTATCATCCAGTGTTACTCTCACTGCCTGGACATTCGTCGTCGAGGTTCTAATGGCTCGGCAACATAGGAGTTGACACAGCCATAAGTGTCCTGGTTCTTCCAGTAGAGGCACCACCTCCAACCAGGAAATTACGACTGGGGGCCGGCCCATGATGGGCCGACATGGGCCCCCTATCTAATATAGACATATGGTAATAGTAATAGACCATATATAAACATATATAAACCATAAATATCCATAAATGCTGGTCAGCCTACTTCTACGCCAACTTACCCGGGCATTCCGCGGCCCACACCTTGTATTTGCTCGTACTCTGCACGGAACTTGTACTCCATTGATGTAAAGCGCTATGGGACAGCTAAATCAGCTAAAGGGGAAGCCAACAACCATGGCATCCAGCATCTCATGACCGAACTTCCCTGCCGAGCCGCTGTCCCAGGGTAGAATCGAACGCCAGAACCTGAGCGGCAAAAAAAGGGGATGTGGTGGCTTCGAAGATCACCAGAGCGAATCAGGCGAATCTTTGATATGCTGCCCCACGGGGAATTATTCCAAAGTCTTGAAAATCAGCTCGACATTGACTCGGCCTCTACAGATTCTACAGTAAAGCCTAGAATGTCACAATAAAAACAAAACAAAGGACGGTTCTACTGAGAAGACGACAGCAGGACATTCCATCTCCATGTCGCCCAGGAACACCTTTTTCCTGGCTATCTGGCATGAAGCTCACGCGCTGCTCCTAAGTGGCTGGGACGCCCATGATGCTCAATACTATATAAAACAAACCCTTCAAGCTCCCCATTCCTTGAGGCCCTAACCGCATCAATGGCAATTTGGGGTTCAAATAATTTTGAGCCGAAGTCACATCATTGACCACACGATGGTTGTGTTGGTGGTTTGGAATCCCGAACAACCCTTGAAAGACAATGTCAATGTCAACCACAGGTTCCAAACGACCAGGCAGCAATTGCTAAATCGGGTTCAACCGCATTTGTTCAATTCATACTTGGGTAAATTTGGATAACACACATTGACACACCAATCCAATCACAAAAAGGATCAACTTGTGGAACATGTCCTGTTACAGATTGGGGACACTCGATCCCCGCCTCTCAAGTTGAACATCGGCTGAAAGTGCGTGGTTCCTCTTCAGAATACGGAAAACCACGTAGTCCATACAACCTTCCCAAAGTATCCCTGATCTTCCAATTTCTCATCAAAAGAGAAAACATGCCATCCACCATATTCTCTATCCTGACCGTGTCCAGTTCCAATATATTCCAGCACGTCTGCCTGCACTTTAACAAAAACCATCAAAAACCTTTATAATCATGAAAACCTAGACATGACCTACCTACCATCAGGTAGTATCCAATTGAGCCGCATAAAAAAAATATGTGTTTTGCCATGTCGTTTGGGTGTGCTTACGCTTGGGTTTGCGTGCTGCCGTGCTGCTTACGCGCGAAGTCCCAGCTTGCGCGAAAACAACAAATTTATACCAACCCTTACGCGCTGGGATGTGTTCGAAAATATTTGAAACTGACACCCTCAGCATTTGCGTACGCCAGAGTTTCTTTGATTGTCAAGTATGTTTGCAGCATCAGTGAAAATGAACAGGAGGTTGAACAAAATGAAACATGACACAAGAAAGAGGGTTCACATGAAAAACAAACAATTAAAACACATTTTAATTTTGGGTTTGAATTCAATGAATACCATTACAGTATGTAGTTTCTATAGGGTACCCCCTAGCCATCGTAATGTCAAATTGTTCTGCATTTCGAAGATCCAAAATTAAACCAAACCATGGGAGCGACTGGTGCGGGCGCACAACTTGCATACACCTCTTTAGCTGGAACTGCAAATGCCACACATGAGCTTGTGCACAATGCTTAGGCAGCACATTTTTGGCAAAGCACCTTTAGCCACTTTGCACCAGCCAGGGTTTTGCCTACGCCGGGAGTTCATATGACAGGGTCCCAATTGAGACAATACAAACTTGTTTTGGGGCCGCTCGAGTGGTCACCGTCGAATTTTGGTTTACTTTCAAGTTGTTTGTGGACAACATGTTGTTTGCACGCTTTATATATAAATACATAGACATGTACATAGTGAAATTCAAAACATATATGCCCACGCATGCATGTAACATCATGTAAGTAAGTATGCATGCATGCATGGATGGATGTATGTATGTATGTATCTGTCTGTCTGTCTGCCTGCCTGCCTGCGTGCCTGCCTGCGTGCCTGCCTGCGTGCCTTCCTGCATGCCTGCCTGTGTGCCTGCCTGCGTGCCTGCCTGCGTGCCTGCTTGCGTGCCTGCTTGCTTGCCTGCCTGCCTGCTTGCTTGCTTGCTTGTGTGTTTATTATATAATAATTTATTATTGCAGGAGATCACCGGGGTCCCGGGGGGTCGGTGATCAACGAAGACATCTCCCGGGACCCGTACCTGCGGGACTTTGGTGGTGCACCTGTGCGCATTTAAGTCGCAACTGGTGGCCACCATAGTCCCATATATATATAACTAACACGTATTCATATACACTTGTCATTTTATATATATATATTTATATCCTTTCTAATTGCACCTTTTGGGATTCAGTTCCCGACGGATCACTAATTACAATGATCCAGTTCTTGTCTAGTGTGATTTCCATGGTGTCTCTATGTGTCTCTGACACGGTGCCATGGACCCATGCGAGGGAACCCTCTTTAGGGAGAATGCCGAAAAACTGACTTCCGAATTCACACATTTTAATCTGGTAATTCGTTTAAGTATAGTGAAACTGCTGGCCTTACCGTTCATCAGCCATTTTGTCCTGCCGACCCTGCCGTTCTGTGTACCTCGGTACTGGGACCACTAATTTTAGATATTTTCACTTCAGGCATTTAACGAGGATAAGTATCTGATAAGTTGCTATTATCCTATTAATATCTTGTCTAAATTGTTTTTTAAAACATATTCTGTGTTAAGTTCCACTTAATGTTGGGTCCTGATTAGTACCTAGGGTCGCTATTGTGGCAATTTTTTCCAAATTATTCTGAAACTCATGTATTGTTTGGAGGGTTCGCTTTTGTGGCAAAACAAAATTGGAGAGCCCTTTTTTTTGCAAAAAAAAACTGTAATTGCTGAGACGCATTTTTTTCTCAAAAACGCTGTATACCTCAGTCAAGGTAGGTTTGTTTGCTGGGTTCACTATTGCAGCAAGCTGTGCCAGAGCAGCTCCTGGAAGCCTAGAAGGGAAGCAAGCCCTTGCCAAAATTGCCAAATTCAAACCCCAAGCCTTTCCCAAAAGAACCAATCCCTTATTAAACCCTTATTAAAGAACAGCTTTTCCACAATTTTCCAAGGCCCTGGACCAGGAGAGGCTCCATTTCACTTTAGTAGGTTTGTTTGCTGGGTTCACTATTGCAGCAAGCTGTGCCAGAGCAGCCCCTGGAAGCCCAGAAGGGAAGCAAGCCTTTTCCAAAGGCAATTGCCAAATTCAAACTCCAAGCCTTTCCCAAAAGAACCAATCCCTTATTAAACCCTTATTAAAGAACAGCTTTTCCACAATTTTCCAAGGCCCTGGACCAGGAGAGGCTCCATTTCACTTTAGTAGGTTTGTTTGCTGGGTTCACTATTGCAGCAAGCTGTGCCAGAGCAGCCCCTGGAAGCCCAGAAGAGAAGCAAGCCTTTTCCAAAATTGCCAAATTCAAACCCCAAGCCTTTCCCAAAGGAGCCAATCCCTTATTAAACCCTTATTAAAGAACAGCTTTTCCACAATTTTCCAAGGCCCTGGACCAGGAGAGGCTCCATTTCACTTTAGTAGGTTTGTTTGCTGGGTTCACTATTGCAGCAAGCTGTGCCAGAGCAGCCCCTGGAAGCCCAGAAGGGAAGCAAGCCTTTTCCAAAGGCAATTGCCAAATTCAAACTCCAAGCCTTTCCCAAAAGAACCAATCCCTTATTAAACCCTTATTAAAGAACAGCTTTTCCACAATTTTCCAAGGCCCTGGACCAGGAGAGGCTCCATTTCACTTTAGTAGGTTTGTTTGCTGGGTTCACTATTGCAGCAAGCTGTGCCAGAGCAGCCCCTGGAAGCCCAGAAGGGAAGCAAGCCTTTTCCAAAAAATTGCCAAATTCAAACTCCAAGCCTTTCCCAAAGGAGCCAATCCCTTATTAAACCCTTATTAAAGAACAGCTTTTCCACAATTTTCCAAGGCCCTGGACCAGGAGAGGCTCCATTTCACTTTAGTAGGTTTGTTTGCTGGGTTCACTATTGCAGCAAGCTGTGCCAGAGCAGCCCCTGGAAGCCCAGAAGGGAAGCAAGCCTTTGCCAAAATTGCCAAATTCAAACTCCAAGCCTTTCCCAAAGGACCAATCCCTTATTAAACCCTTATTAAAGAACAGCTTTTCCACAATTTTCCAAGGCCCTGGACCAGGAGAGGCTCCATTTCACTTTAGTAGGTTTGTTTGCTGGGTTCACTATTGCAGCAAGCTGTGCCAGAGCAGCCCCTGGAAGCCCAGAAGGGAAGCAAGCCTTTTCCAAAGGCAATTGCCAAATTCAAACCCCAAGCCTTTCCCAAAGGAGCCAATCCCTTATTAAACCCTTATTAAAGAACAGCTTTTCCACAATTTCCCAAGGCCCTGGACCAGGAGAGGCTCCATTTCACTTTAGTAGGTTTGTTTGCTGGGCTCACTATTGCAGCAAGCTGTGCCAGAGCAGCCCCTGGAAGCCCAGAAGCGAAGCAAGCCTTTTTCCAAAATTGCCAAATTCAAACTCCAAGCCTTTCCCAAAAGAACCAATCCCTTATTAAACCCTTATTAAAGAACAGCTTTTCCACAATTTTCCAAGGTCCTGGGCCAGGAGAGGCTCCATTTCACTTTAGTAGGTTGTTTGCTGGGTTCACTATTGCAGCAAGCTGTGCCAGAGCAGCCCCTGGAAGCCCAGAAGGGAAGCAAGCCTGTTCCAAAATTGCCAAATTCAAACTCCAAGCCTTTCCCAAAGGATATTGAACCCTTATTAAAGAGCAGCTTTTCCACTAGTACTACAAGTACTACAAGTACTACAAGTAATGCAAGTACTACAAGTACTACAAGTACTACAAGTACTACAAGTACTACAAGTACTACAAGCGCTACAAGTACTACAAGTACCACAAGTACTACAAGTACTACAAGTACTACAAGTACTACAAGTACTACAAGTACTACAAGTACTACAAGTACTACAAGTACTACAAGTACTACAAGTACTACAAGTACTACAAGTACTACAAGTACTACTACAAGTACTACAAGTACTACAAGTACTACAAGTACTACAAGTACTGCAAGTACTACAAGTACTACAAGTACTACAAGTACTACAAGTACTACAAGTACTACAAGTACTACAAGTACTACAAGTACTACAAGTACTACAAGTACTACAAGTACTACAAGTACTACAAGTACTACAAGTACTACAAGTACTACAAGTACTACAAGTACTACAAGTACTACATGTACTACAAGTACTACAAGTACTACAAGTACTACAAGTACTACGAGTGCTACATGTACTACAAGTACTACATGTACTACAAGTACTACAAGTCTACAAGTACTACAATTACCACAACTTCATCGGCAAAAAAAACAATCTTAATTAGATTTCGATTGTAGCCAATTGAAATCCTTACTTAATCGAGGATATGTTTTTCGTTTGGGAAGAAATTTTTTGCTTTTCTACTTTAAAGAGAGTCCAGATATAGTTT